ATAATATTACGTAGTATAGACTTTGAAGTAGCCAATATTATTATGTCAGATAAACACAAAGTGTAATTATGTTTGTATATAGCATATCGTTCAAACTTCGACTCTGTTGTTATTAGGAATAAGATTATTTAGCGTCGAAGACTCGATAAGTGTTTTATTACTCTTCAGAGCTCATATTATCTATTTCACGGGCTCATAAAATATCGCATGCATTTTATTGATGGCGTTCGACACGCAAGTGTATATTTTATGCACCTGCATAATAATATTTTGACGTTATCGAGAAATTAAAAAAAATTAATTTTTAACAACCGGTTTGATGAATTGATAATTATTGTAAATTCGAGTTTGTTTTCAGTGGAAAAATTATAAATCTTTCCCGTGCACTCAATACTATAGTATCGTTACATAATGTTTTATATAAACATAATATTATACAGCTGGTATCGAATATAATATTATAACGCCGTCCAATACATACATGGGTACTTAATATGAGATCTCCAATATACGTTTAATCCAATTAACAAGTGTGGCCGTAACAGGTTTTATGTTTTAATTCTTTTTTTTTTTTTGTTTTTTAATTAGAATGAATCATATATTATTGTGTATTTCCGTAGATCGTCTGGTTTTCTTAGTTAAAAGCCAAACGCGAAATCTCATTACCTACTTGTTCTGCAACTAATAGGTTAGGTTATTATAATTTTATTATTATTATCATGACAATCGTTTGCCTATGCCTTCGATCGCGTTTAAATTAAAAAAAATATTTAACGCTACAGTAATATTGTCGTACACCCGACACGTGTGGGTTCAGTTAAACTGGTATAGTACGTTTACCGCGTTCCTTGGCCAAAGTATATAATATTATAATGTATTCGGTTGTAACTAGAATTTAGTCCATTATATCACGTTAGAGCCGTTAAAACGTGATGTAATTAAGACGGTGGCTGTATACGAAGTAAGTATATTAACTCATATTAAACTCTATACATATTATTATATTAACAACCGATACTGATACGACACTAACGTTTTCGCCGTTCTATAGATGTATAGCAAAACGACAACATTTGCACTTACAAAGCCGTTACATTGTGTACGGACATCGTTGCAAGTCGGAGATTCTAAACTGTTTAACGCTTTAACCAAATAATAATATTATGTATGCATTTAAAGTCTATATAGTAGTTAAAGCCGGGCTGTTAACCGCAATTGCGGGCAAACGGTTCGAGCATAACACTGTAACATTATTGTATTCGTTTTGAATTACTTATACAGAAACGACAACAACCACCAAGAAGAAAACTCTCCGGAAAATACCACTGTATATATATATATTTTTTTTTTATATACCTATCGATCTCCGGTCGTTTTTTTTATTTTTTATATCGAACAATATTATAGAGCCATTAAGAAAACGGTAAAGTATTTTTTTTTTCATTCTGTGCTTCGCTGTGTTTTTATCCGTTCTCTGGTCAGTCGCGTCCTTATCAACAGAGTAAGTATAATATATAATATTGTTGGGAGATCACAAACGCGGCGTGACGGTACGTGCCAACAGTGTACACGAATCGACCGTGGAAAATCGCGCGTCTCACATACACGAGACCATGGTTTTTTTTTCTTCTTCTTTCTGACTTCGACAATTCTTCCATCATGGTCCGGGCTCGCGCGAGCGACGAGGACGTACAGCACGCTGTACAGTTTGAATTTAGAACACGAGGAGCATCACAACAACAAAAAAAAAAAAAATAATAATAATAATATAAAGACGAAGAAGAAGAAGAAGACGGTGTCGGCGGCGCGGTGGAGTAAAATATTATGGACCCGTATACAATAATGTGCCGTACCGAGATAATTGGACTATTTTCTGTATGAAATTTCGATGGCTACCGGAACTCCTTTTAAATAAAATAATATATACCAACAATATGTGTGATAATACCCAACACGCACTGTCCTGTACCCGAGACCAGCTACCTCGAGGCAGAATCGTAACTAGGAAAAAATATACCTACACTATTTACCAGCTATATTGTGCATATTTTTATTACACACCCGCGCGTGTGTGTGTGTGTAAACTTAGTTCCACACGATTGCGACTGGTCAACTTAACGGATAATACATGCATATGTATATTGCCGATTTGCAAACAAGATGTAAATTATATACCTATATATATATATTTTTTTTTAATCAGTTTACTTTATGTAAGAAAAAAATATATTGTATAGATGTTGAACGCCGGAATAGCTGTCGTTAGTGTATATATATATATATATAATAGATGTTGTTAAAATGATAGTAACGGATCGCACATAACTAGGTGTACCTACTTCAATAATAGTACTGATGGGTGCCGTTTAAAGTGGAAATACATTAAATATATATTTTTTTCACAAATATTATTAAGTCCTCGTACCATTTCGGAGTACCTATTATATACATATAGGTATAATATAGTTAAAGAATGGTCGTAACGAGGTTAACGATCCGCCGAACGACTCCTGGTTAAAAATATATTACATTATAACAAACAAAAAAAACTAACATATAATAATAACGTCGACGCGACCCGAGCAAATTAACGACACAACACGGTCTCTAGTGTATAATTGTAATTATTATTATTTTACGATTCATATTATACGCAATTATTACAACGGAGAAGACAAAAAAATATATTATATATACATACAAGAAAAATAAAGAATAATAATATAATACTCCGCCCCGTGGGAACGTAATACGGGAAGTATAATAACAACGACGGCCACACACAAACACAAGCAATATACACATACGAGTCGAAAGCTGCACGTATAATAATTCACAGTGTGTCTTAAAAAATGTAAGCCTCGACGATGAAAATATAATAATAATATACTACATCACGTGTGTACTGTGTGAAAAACAGATAAGACAATTAAAAACACTTTCAGTAATGCGCTCGCTATTCCCCTAAAATAATAATATAATGGTTATGTATACCTATACCTGCTATAAGAAACCAAGCGAAACACACGTGTAAACCGAATAATTACTCGGTTTTTTCTATGGAAAAAAAAAACAATACAATTGGTCGGCTAAGTCCGAGCATTGGGCGCGTTGTGCTTACGCATATAAGTAAAATTTAAAGCCATATTTTCACCGCAACGGCAAGTGAAAACGTTAATCACGCGTGAGAACTATGAGAAGCAACCGCTATAAGATTTCGCCACGTTTGAAACTATAAATCTGCAACCTTTAATTACACAAACACGGCGCTTACTAGAGTTTTTAAGTTTTCCCATTTTCTTGTACGTATCTTGTTTCTCATAATAACGCAATTGTCTAAAACGCTCGAAAACAATGTGTTCAAACCATAAGCATAAACGCGCATATATAAAAAAAATTAGCTCGAAATCAAGACGGTTCTTTTCATAAATTGTTTTGTCTTATTTTAGTAAAAATGTTATGAAAATATTTTTAACTGTTTATAAGGTCGAACAATTAATGTCTTGATTTTATATTTTAGTTACTGTCTGGGTTTAATGCAAATGTCTTGTTAAATCAAGATATGAATTCGGATGTATTTAAATAATTACTATCTAGTTTTTATATTATTTAAAATTAAGTGTCCGCGGGGTTGATAATTTTCATTTAAAAACATTGTATTTTTGAAAATCATCGAATTGGCAAATTGTAATAGTAGTATAGGTATCGCAGTTTTAACCTAACTTGTATAGGTAAGCTACAAAGTATTGTAGTTTGCATAATTAATTTGCATATTTAAACATAATTCAAAATAAACATACATTAACAAAAATAATAAAAAGCGTCAAGTGTTGTATAGCTGTTTTAAAAATGAACGATTACAATGTAAGTTTTAAACTACCGAGGAGAACATGAATATATATTTTTTTCAAATAAAATTGTCGACTTCAACAGTTATTATTGCGATTATGGTTGAATTATACAGTTTTATGGTTTTTTTTTTAACGATTAATTAGATTTATTATATTAATGGTTTTTTTTATTTTCAAATTAAAGTAAAGTCTAAATTATCCACTAGTGGCTGTCCACAGTCGTGGAAATGTATACAAATTGCATATTAGCATCGAATGGTCGAAGACGGTAAATTGATTTTGATGGATTTCATGGCATAATAATATATTATATTATTGTTTACCATATTAACACAAGAATCGCATGAATAATATTATGAGTAATATAATATTCCTGTTGTTTCTGACTGTACGACACCACGTCATGTCAGCTCGTTATAGCAACGTTTGTGCGCCACCATTAAAGTCTCCTCCGAATAATAGAATATAATAATTATAGGTATAGCTACATGTTTTCCGCTTTTCAAAACGAGAGCGCTTTAAGACGACACGCGTTTACATTTTCCCCGTTAATCAATCACGAATGGACAATAATAATGATTTAACGACACGCCGATCGTTTCTTTACCTTGTCTTCGCAGTGAAAACCAAACAAACGTTCCGACGATAAAAGTAATAATAATGTTATATAATTACAAGCCGAGGAAGTTTCCTCGGTTGTCCAGTACGCACCTTTACGCGATATATTGCAACTAGTACATACGATGCAAGACGTTTGAGTAACAAAATATATATATTATAACGTTATTGTTATTATTCCAAACACTGTACAGGGTATGCAATGAAGCAATTCATTTGTAATCCGATTTCCGCTAGTTGGGTTAACCGGCCGTGAAAAAACACCGTGTACGTTACTGTTTTCGGACCGTTGAGTACTCAAACGAGGGAACGGATTACAATATGTACAAACATTAACACTTTGATGGGCGCCAGACCTATAAGCCAACCGCGAATAGCACGCGTGATAATTATTAGTGTACCTAACTCGATGTGGGAAATGAGATTAAGATATTATTATTTTTTTTTAAAAATCCAATTTTCGCGGTTAAACATAAAACTTAAGGTGGGATTTTTCCGTAAACTATGTACAAATACTTGATAAAAACTCACGTCGGTCTCGTCCAGGAACGGGAACACGTCCAGTTTGTCGATGCGAACCGTTCCCTGGAAAGGATAGATCATCGTGCCCCTGGGTATGTTCACGTTGGTCATGACCGTGATTTCTGGTTCGGCGGGTCTCTTGGGTCTCTGTTGAATGCCGGTCACCGGCACGGCTTGCAGCGACAGCTCTTTCGGTATGAGTACGCACGTTTCCATCGTTGTGTCGTACGCGACGAGCAAAACCAAAAACCGAACCGAACCGATTAGATAAGATTACGGAATAGATAAATTAAGCGCGTTTTCCGCGATCGAAACGAACAAATAAAAAATAAAAAAAAATGTAAATTATATATTTCTATCGCCGAAAAACGAATAAAAAAACTATACTATTAGAATTTTTTTTTTTTTTTTCTAGTGTCGCTGCACAACGTTCATGTTGGTCTCGGCGAGAAACGTACAGAGTCGGTTGACATTGGCCTTGGTCGGACCTCAACGCGCACACATATAACACACTCACACATACACACACACACACACACACCGGTCGATCGGTCGGTCACTGTATTGGACTGGTTCGTGTTCGTGCTATACTGACGGGCAAGACGTCGGTCGGCCGGCTATTGACTACTGAAGAAGTGCAAGGCCGCGGCGAGAGCACGTGGGCATTACCGGTCGGGCCGTTTCCAAGACGTTGGGCGGACACCTGTGGCCAATCGCCGTCTCAACCGGTGCGCCGCGTCTCGACCAATCGCCGGTCGCCTTTGGTCCGACACCAACGACGCCCCCCCCCCCTTCCTCCTATCTCGCTCTCCTTTGGCGACCGAATAGGTATAGTATAATATTATTATTATTATTGTTATTATCCGAAGTCGCCGCCGCCTTCGTTTCCTCGCGGGTGCGATCGCTACCGGTCTTCTTCTTTGATATCGACGCGTACAGTAATTAAATTCCATCTTAAACAGTAGAATAATTATTGTCCAACAACAACAACAACAGTCAAAATATACATAGGTATAACGACGAGTCGATGGCGAACGCCATAAAGGAATCGGACACAGAATGTACCTCTAGTAAATATCAAGACATTCGAATAACAAGTGGTCAATAATAACGGATCTTTGAAAATAGTTTTTGGAGTTTAGGACGACTGTTTGAATTTTTCAAAGTTAAAACATGCCTACGCAGAATGCGTTTTGATGATGAAAGAGCAAAAACACCTATGACAAAAACTAAAGATGACGACAGTGTTAAATACTTTTTTTGATAAACTTAATATTTAACATAATTAAAATCACATTTATTTACTTTTTTAAAATAGCTATAACTTTTATTCACGTTGTTATTTTCAAAATCAAATTCGACAATGTCTCCATAATGTTATTATCTTTCGATTTTATATTAGGTGTTTTTGCTCTTAAACAACTATGGACTTAGTAAAACGCATTCTGCGTAACTATGTTTAAATGAAAAAAAAATCTGTTATTATTTTCAAATATTTTGAACTAGTTTAAACATTTTTTTTTTTAAATTATTTTAAAACGAAAAAAAATAGTAATAAGAAAAAGTAGTTAATATTACAAACCCCAGAAGAGGTAACGAGAAATTCAAAACTTTTTTCAGAATGGAAATTTGACTTCATGGGAACACAGGATGATGGGAATGCCAAAGGTCTATTGTTCAATAATAGAGCCTTTATAGGTTATAAAAGTTGAAAAATAATATATAATATTTTTACTACATTTTACAATTACTTGTTAAGTTTTAATGAAATATTGCCTATACAATGTGCTTAAATAAATTACAGTCACGAGACCCTTAATACAGCATATAGGTCACAGTAAAATATTTGTTTGTACTTAAATATTAATTTTACTCGAAAAAAATCTTAAATAGTATAGGTACTCAATTCTTAAAAGCATACCATTACACAAACACACACGCTATTTAGGTTCACCCTGACCAATGAACTTAGCACACACTCTAAGGCCTAAGCTAATTTAGAGTAGCAGGCTAGTTACACCAATCTTCAAAGACTACTATGCACCTCGCGAACATAACCCACACAATAACTGTATAATTAACCAGTAACACTAAATTAGTTTTTCAGTCAAATTAAGAACTTAGGTATTAAAAAAAAAATGTAACGCAGAATGAATAATAAAAGATTAAATCTTTACAAGACGTTCAATTACTACAAAACAACACTAGTGAAACTATATCAAACACAAAAAACACACAATGGGTTTATAAAAAAATTACCTACACAACGCGTCTCTCAGGCGTTCGGATGCACCGAGAGAATCTCCTTAACATTGATAAACATTTTCTAATATATTATTGGTATAAGCCTAATTATTGCTAATTGCACTGCTTCATTATAGTTGGGAAATTACATTTTTAAAATAGATTAATTATAGTTAATATAATAGATAATACTATACCAAGTATATATTGTAGAATGTTTTATTATTATACTCGTCTCAGTGTTTTATTAAACTAATATTGTCTATGTCATAATGCTATGTCGTTGTGTGTCATGTGCAGAGCGTATTTAGTGATAAACTTCAGTCATTTGAAATCGATTTGGAAACGGTTGTTGGTTTATACGAACCATTAATGCAGTATTAATTCGATTTAAGAAGTATGTTTGACAACTACAAAGAGAAAGCAATTAAAAAATCAGGACTCAAAATATATAAAAAAAATAATATTAATGATGAATGAAAAATAAAAGGAAAAAACACATTTTAAAATCCGAGACTCGTTTAAGATTAATAGTTACTGTACTATTATTGACAGACTACATTCAGAACTAGAAAGAAGAACATTTTTCTATTTTTCAAATTTAACTTCTAACATTTTACTAAAAGGGAGGAAACAAAATTGGCCTAAATAATCAATAAGGGTAAAACGAGTAGTATGATATTTTCTAGACGACGCTGTAGAACTAATCCTTTAAATGTATAGGATTAGAGGTTCCATAGGGTAATGAATTTTATCTATCTACCTATATGGAGATACCAATCAAAATTGAATAGCCAGAAAAAGGTAAAAGAACGGTACATTGTAGTCAATACAGGTCTGAAAGGCTCATAACTAATTGAAAAAAAGAGAAGATTTTGCATTTATGAAATTTACAATCGTAAAACTGTTAATACTTATATTTTATGAAAACAAGAATTGCCAAAATAATAAATTTAACTATCACCATAATGAGCTTCTATCTAACTATACATTATTCTTTTGTCAAGTTTGTAAAAATAACCAAAGCGACCTCAAGATTTCTGAGGGTGGAGGTTAACCCTACTTAATCGAGCCGCTGATTTTCTTAAAATTCACAATTATAAAAATTCTAGAATCACAAAAATGCCCCACTGAAACTTAGTATTGTTTACAAATTAATTATTTAAAATATATCTTTATCAATTGAACGACAAAGATTGTCGTAGTAAGACTCATAGTTGGTTGACTAATCCTAAGTCAATCATTCTCAGCAACAAATATAGATAAATATTATATACATAATAATTGTAAAGTATTATTATTGTTATTATTATCGGTTAACTGGTGAAAAACAAAAAAAAATTAATTTTAGACTCCGAGTTATAATTTTTTTTTCGATCTGAGTATTGCCAATTAAAAAACTAATTGTTTTTTTAATTATTACCAATAATTTCTTAATCAATCATTTCTTTACAGTTCATACGATTACGGTTAATTTTTCATTGGTAATCCGGCAATATTATGTTTGTCTAACGGCGCTCGCTATAGGCTACACATAATACATAGAAGTCTTTCACACTATATTATTCGTATGTTTCAAGCAAACACGGCCGTGTCGACCACACGCAGGGTTGAAGTTTTAATCCCGACATAATTGGTGTCGTGCAAACTCCATCTAAAGCACTGGTAAGTATAAAAAACTTAATTCTGCATGCTTAAAAATCTGCGGTTAGATGGAGCCACATAATGCCTTGCTGCAATGCAACTTGTAAGTTGCCTCGGCGGTGAGTTTTATTCAACAATACAAATAGTACTCATCTAAGTATATTAAATTGACGCGATTTCACTCAAGTTACATTTTGATTACTTTTCTAATATAGCGCAAGACTAAAAGTACAACTTACCTACGAAAGTATTACTCGGTTCCACGTTTTGTACTTATAACAGTTTCGACATTATATCATCATTATATCTTAAGTAATAATAAAATAATAATAACCATGTCTATACTTTTAACAGTAACAACTCTCTGTTGTCGTATCCAGTATCGATATAAAATACTAGGTTGTATTTTGTACGAAATATGCTTTATAAAAACATGTTTTTTGACGATCAGCATAACTTTTGTAAAACTTAGGTCACGTGTTTGTGCGCAGCGAATCCCAATACGTAATATATTAAAATACAACCCATAAATCATACTTTGTTAAAGTTCGTCCCTTGACGGAGGGGAAAAGTTTTTACGATATATTTTATTATACACAGTTACGCGTATTATTTATAAGCTTGCTTTTAACCAATAAAACAAATAAATAAAAATTGGATGTTTTGTATTGTTATAAACGTTAGTTTATAATATTATAATCATTTGTATTTTTATATGATGTTGTATATTTATAATAGAATGTTTTACGTTAATAATATTCCACTGTGGTATTATTCAAGTAATGACATACTTTATTATGAATATAGAATATTATATTTTTGCTATGGCTATTACAAAAATACAATTTTTTATGTAGACTTGGTAAATCCAATATAATTAACAACAATTAAATAGGTAATAAGTACAATTTTATAATTAATTAATAAATTACTAATAACTTTTAATATATTTTATAGCAATGTAGATGTATTTTATACAGTTCAGTCAAACTTCATAAGCTAAGCAAATCAATTTGCTGTCATATTTAGTGACATAAAACGATATCATATAATGGTGATTCATACGTTTCAAGAGAGTAAGAAACAAAGTAATCTTTTCTGGCTGTATGTAGAAAAGTTTTCCAAGAATCTTCATAATTCCCGTTTAAAAAATTGAAGAGTTAAACAAATCTCGTTGGCACTGAGAGTTTTTTTTCACTCATTTTCAGATGAAAACAAACTTCTTTTTCAATTAAAAAGTTTTGAATGTTTCGTAAGACTGGAAAATTAAAACGAACGTGTTAATAATAACGTTGCAGTCAAATTTAATTTTGGGCAAAGTTGAAAACAAAAGCCGTTTAATTTTCTTTTAATCATTTCCGTGTCGTTGCGTACAACAAATAATATGTATATTTTATTTAAAACAGAATCTAATATACCAAATCTTTTATTATGGTTTTTTCGACAAGTTAGTTTACAATAAAACTTTATTAGTGGGCGTACATCTATAGTCTTTAAATATTTTTTTCTATAATACAGCATTGAGCATTGTTACTTGTTGTTTCATTAGTAGTGTAAAGTATTGAAAAAGAACTTTAAAATCATTATTTATTTTTAGTGGTATAGCACATATTTAATTAGCCAGCTTTTTATCAAATAATGCATTTATAAATGTGAAATATTTATATTTTTAGCTGTACAACTGTATTTTTTTTTTTGTCCATGGAAAATGTTATTAGGTTATA